AGTTTAACATATTGCATATTCTTTTAATATTCTGTTTGGTGTGTGCATAGCAGCTATACTAAACTGAAATCTCAAAATGGATAAATGGCATGTTTTGTTTTGTTTTGTTTTGTTTTGTTTTTTTGTTTTTTTGTTTGGCTGCTGAAAGGATAAATGGCAGTTGGATAAATGGAAAGACAGTGCTGACTTTTTCCTTTTAGATAAAAAGTCAACACAATCAATATAAAGCATGTTTAAATTGGAATTAGAAAAGAAAACATTCTTACATTATGCCTTTGTTCTCAATTTTCAGGGCACTGCAAAAGTTGAAGCAATCTCCCTAAACACGTCTGAAATGAGAGTTGATCATATAAACTTGAAACCGACAGTCTTCAACAAAATGTACAATCTAAGATTACTTCAGATATTTGAATGCATAGAAAAGTGCAAATTACATCTCCCACAAGGTCTTGATACACTCCCTGATACACTCAGATATCTCAATTGGCCCACATATCCTTTGAAATCTTTACCATCGAGTTTTATGCCTCAAAATCTAGATTTAGGAGGCTGCTCAACTATTGACAAGTTTCCAGAGCTTCCGAAGAATTTAAGGATGTTACACTTAAGCGGAACCGCGATAGAACAAGTTCCCTCGTCATCCTTTGAGTGTCTCCCTAATTTGGAGGTTCTATATCTAGAAAATTGCACAAGGCTTAAGTCCCTGCCAACCAGCATATATAAGCTGGAGTCTCTTGTGACTCTTAATCTGTCCGATTGCACAAACTTCAAAAGCTTCCCAGAAATCTTGGAGCCTATGGAATGTTTAAGAATTCTGAACTTGGATGGAACAAGGATTAGGGAGTTGCACTCATCGATTGAAAATCTAACTAGGCTTCGGTTGCTATTTTTGAGACACTGAAAATCTCGAGCTTGTTCCAAACAACATCTACAATATACGATGCCTTGAGTATCTTGACCTTTCTAAATGTCCAAAACTTGAGAGTTTGCCAGCGTTGTCAGTTGGTTTTCACTGCAAGATTGAAGTAGATCTAAGTTACAACAGCATATTAAAAGTCCCTCATTGGAACTTCGGTTTATCCTCGTTGACATTGCTTGACTTGACCGATATCACCACCGGCAGAAGACATGTGAGCATGGAACGATTGTTTAATATGATTCTGTTTTCAAGAGGCAACAACGAGACAGGTGACTTTCAGATGGATAGCCTTTTGGCCAAACCTCAGGCATGCCGATGTTCGCCTTTGGATAATTCCAACTTCTCAAACTTTCTCTTTTGCGGATGTCCAAGATTTGATGAGGCGGAGTGCACCAATATGGCGGCTAAATTCCTGCTTATCGTTTTGTGGGAGGCAATTTGGTTTAAGATGAAAGAAATAGAACGAGAGGTATGTCTCTTTCTTGTTCTTCTAAAAAAGTTTGTGTAGTTTTTTAATAAGTGAGATAATCATAATGCTTGTTTGTACTGCAGAAAATAATTTTTCCTAGAATCAATTTATGCTGTCCTGGAAATGAAATTCCATGGTGGTTCAGTGATCAGTCCAAGGGATCTTCAAAACATATCAAGCTTTCTCCAAATTGGCATAATCCCGACTTCTTAGGTTTTGCCTTTTGCTTTGTTGTTGAGTTTGAGCACTATTGTTTTGATGTCAAGCACTTGAATTGCTGTTGTGAATACCATTTAAAAACCAACCATGGTGAAAGCTACAGATCTGTTTGGAGATCCCAGAGACCAGAGAAGGCCGAATGGATGAAAGAAATCAAATTTCTCAATTCAGATCACTTGTTGCCCTGAAATGTCATTTGAATGTCATTTGAATTTTGCCTAGAACCGTTTGATACAAAGTAAATACAAAGTAAATTCAGATCACTTGTTGAAAATGGTAAATACAAAGTAAAAGAATGCGGAATCCGCACACTGTATTTGCAAGATGCAGAGGAATTTGGCGTCATTGAATATATTTCTCAGAATGCGTCTTTTTTGTGGACATCGCCGGGAATCACATTGTCAAGCGAGCAACCTGTTCAGTGCATCTCTTTTGCGGTAATTTATGAACCTGTCTAGTCTTATTAGTTATTTCATCTTTCACTGCTGTCTGTTTTGGCCATGCGCATTATGCTGCAGGCTTAACCTCAAAGCTAAGATTTTTATTTTTTATTTTTTAAACACAATCACAAGCTATTCTGTTATCTCTCTTTAGGAATTGATGGAAACTCAGGAACCGATAGGAATTCAATTTTAAATAAGCTCAAGCACACGGAGTTCAAGACTACGCGTATTTTATCGTGAACGCAATCCAGTAGCGAACAAGTTGGCTTGTATTAGTTGCGGATAATTCCCGAGCCTACAATTGTGGGTTTTAGCTCCCTTGTTCATTCAGAGATACTTCAGCTTGGATAATTTTATTTTCTTTTTTCTTTGATAGATTGAGATTGAGATTGAGCATGACAAACAAAAGAGATTGATTCATTGAATGGTGTGACATAGTGGGAATATGCTAATTTCTTTTGATGTCATTGCTTGTCCTTTTTTTTTTCTTTCCCTTTTTTATAAGCTGCTTGTTAATTAGCATTTCTACTCTCTTCATTCTGACCAATGAAATAGTATAATGTATATCTTTTCTTTTCTTTTCTTTTCTTTTCTTTTCTTTTCTTTTTTTTTTAAAAGATTTTTGAAACGTTTTTAATATGGAAAAGTAACTAAGGGCTGTTTGGTACCCTTCTTGAATATAGCACACGTATAGCATGTATTTTCAAAAAATAATTCATTTAAACGGTCTTATTTTGTGGGAAAAAAAAAATGGAATACACCCAAAAGTTTCTTTTTCCCTTTTGATTTTCATTTTCTCACACTTATCAACAATGTTAAATTAAATTAATCTTCAATATTTGTTAAAAATTTAAAAAAGAAATAGTAATTAATTAACTAATTAGACATTACCCCCTTTTTCTTAGTATGTTTTTAACATAAAATTCTAATGGAACGAAAAAGATCTGTCTCTGTTTTACTCCTGCATGCTGCACAGTCCATTACATATGTATAAACGTATGTCATTTTTAGGCTTACGTATGTATAAACGTATGTTAAATTAACTGCCATGTGAAAATGTGAAAAAATATATGACTGGGGTGGAAATTGTTCAGGCTTTCTTCAATACATAATTACATATGTATAAACGTATGTACTCTTATTTATCTTCAGAGAATGAGGGAAAACAACCAATTAATGGAATGTTGGCAACAAGCAATTTGTAGGTAACATTGGATTAAAAATGATGTACGGATGTCAATGACTTTCGGCAATTTAGTTATATGCGAACGTTTTGCACACAAGTTAAAATGTGCGAATGTTTGTCCACAGGTTTTTCAAAACTTTTTTTTTTTTTGATGAGCTCTGGTTTTTTTTTTTTTTTTTTTTTTATGTCTTTTGCCTTTGTTTTTTTTTAGAGTTTTTCCGATAGATTGCTCTGTGGATAAGAATAGTTTTTTAACTGTTAGATGTGGTTAAAACTAAATTAAATTAAAAAAATATACGGAATAAACAGTTTCTAATAAAAATATGACAATTACAAAATAAAAAACTATTAATTGTTACGGGAGACGCTCCCTCATTTTTTTATTTTTCATTTTTTTTTTTTTACTTTCTTTCTTCTTTGTCTTTTTTTCATTTATTTGTATAAACATTGTTTCAAGGATGCGCGTCTTGACTAGTTATTTCTAATAAAAATGAATGAGACACGAATGCGAGAAAAAAAAAGAAAAAAGAAAAAGATCTAGTTAATCATTCTCGATCATAAGTTAGCCGCGATAAATCAGTTTTTTTAACTGCTAATTTTGTATATTTTTTAATTAAATTTGACTTTATACAAATCTAAATTAATTCTATTGATATGTCGATCAACCTTATATACTATAAGGGAGAAAGAGGGAAATATGTCAAGATTTGAGATGAATTAAAATTAATAGACTAACAATTTACATAAGTTAATAAATATGCTAAATTAGGGTATATTCAGATTTATCTACACATAAGATTCTAAAAATGTCATTTCTACTCAAAAAACCCAAACACCTCTATCTCTCTCCTCTCTCAGCTCTCTCTCTCACCGACCTCCGCTCTCTCTCTCTTCCCTCCAGCGAACTGTTTCTTCCCTCCGCCGCTCTCCGACAATCACTCTCTCTTCCCTCCTGCGCTCTCCAGTGAACTGTTTCTTCCCTCCGCCACTCTCCCACGATCACTCTCTCTTCCCTCCAACGCTCTCCGGCGAAAAAAGATGCAACTCCTCACATAAACACTCCTGTAAAAACTTCAAAGAAGCATCCTCCGGAATAAAAACTGATTGAAAACCAAAATTTGTATATGAGTTTTCTAGACTCCATTTCCCTTATAAGCAACAATGACTGAAACAGATTGCATGCCTACAAACATATTGCAGGAACACTGTCACGTTAAAGTGCATAACCGGACAAGTTATGTAAAAAACTTGTCAATTGTGGAACATAACTCGTCAAGTTATGTTCCATAACCGGACAAGTTATAAAAAAATAGTCAATGACTGAAACATATTGTATGCCTACAAAAATCATTAAATTACAAGAGCTATATTCAATCCAAAAAATATTAAAAAACCGAAGAAATGAAAAATGTGAAAACAAAATTACAAAAAAAAAAAAAAAAAATAGAAACGAATAATGCCCAAACCTGTTTTTCGGTAAAGATCACCGGAGGACTTGCTCAAAAAATGACCGAAAAATAGCAAAAACACAAGATTAACGGACAAAGAGAGAGAACAAACTGAAATAATGCAAAATATGAAAACGAAAATACACCAAAAATAAAACTAGAAACCAAGAATACACAAACATGTTGTTCGGTAAAAATCACCGGAACAAACTGCTCAAAGACGACTGGAGAAGAACAAATCCAATGAGAAAGAGAATGACCGACTGACGAAAAATTGATCCACCGATGATCCACCGACGAGAGAGCAAATCCGAGCGCAGTTACAGAGGATCCACGCCGGTGAAGATCCTTGAAGCTAGAGAGAGAAAAAGAGAGAGTTGCGGGTACAGTTAAGAGAGAGAGACATAGAGGATCGAAAGAAAAAAGAAAAAAAAAAGAAAAAATTTAAAAATTCAAAAATTATAACCTATTAAATTTTATAATTAAAAATTGGCCTATATACATTCTTAAGCTTTTCATATTAGTCTATTCCCTACTGTTTCCCCAGTTATAAACTGCTAAGGCCCGTAGGCCATATTAAAGTTCTAAGTAGGTCTTTTATGTGACGACCCTCCTAGGAGGCCGTCACCGTAACTGCAAATTAACTTGTACTTACTGGAATTTCTTAAAATTGCGGAACATTTTTTTAAAATAAAAAAAATGTAAGAATGAATAATTTCATAAATCGTGTCTTTCAAACTGAGCGGCGTTTGAACTCTTGTTTCAAATACTCTTTAAAAACCTTTCTAAAACTAGCCAATTCAATCGGACAATCTAATTTGACTTCAAAACAGGTTTCGTGAGAAATCTTAAGTTCAAGTACATTTTAAAGTCCTTTTAAAATCAATCATTTAAATCGTCATGTTTAAAATTCGTTTATTTGTTGCATGCACTGTTGAAACGTTCTAAAACTTAAATACTCAAGATTAGGTTTGTTAGCTACAAACTTGGTTTTCTTAACATACATATGTACATATACTTTTCAAATATACATGCTTGAAACCTTTGAATCATATATACATATACATGATTTTACTTAAACTTACTGCGAAAGATTTAAGTGTGAGCGGTATCCATTCCCATCTCCACCATTCGTCCACCGCTCGCCATTGCCCTTCAAGAATTGCTGATAGGTTTGTTACCTACAGCATCAACATATCTGATTGAGCTTTCGCTTAGCAAGTAGGTGTTGGGAATAGTGTCCTAGAAGCATGAGATGTAATAGGATA